GACGCTCTTCTCAGCAGAACGCAACCGAGGTGAGACTCGTGGCCACCGCCCGCCCGCAGCGCCGGAGCCCGCGGACTCCCCTGCTCCCTCCTTCTGTTGAACCACTTTGATTTGTGCAGAGAGAAATAGAACTTTTTTGATAGTGTGGTTAAAAACATTGATTTGAACTATTTTAGTAAAAGGAGTAACAAACAAGACTGTGACAGTGTATCTTTGCGCTAAATAAAGGCTTCCTGGGAGCCTCCTGGCTGGTGCTCACTGCTCTCTGGGCTCTCTGGCGGGGTGAGGGCGACTCGGGACGGGCAGTGGCTGGTCCCCGTGGCCACTGGCCCCTCCTAGGCCCTGAACGTCGAGGGTGCCACGCCAGACCTCGTCCAGCGCAGGGACCGTATCCCGTGCAGATACTGGCGAGCTCCTTCCAGGGGACCCCAGCATCTGAACCAGGCCAGCAGGGCTGGGACAGTGAGCCAGCTTCCCACAGGGCGTCTGCACCCGCGCCCTGCCCTGGCCCCTGCCCTCTGCTCAGCTGCTAGCAGCAAGCGCCGCAGGAGGTGCCTCCTCCAGTCAGGCCCAGGGGAAGACGGGGCCACAGGAGGGTGGCAGGCAGACAGCTTCCCTGCCCTTCTCCCCAGCTAGGGCCCTTGAGCCTTGGCCTCGGGGTCTGGAGCCCCACCTTTCACCCCCCAAACGACAAGGGGGCAGTTTCACAAGTGATTTTATTTGGATCACTGACTGAAGGAGTCTCATTTGTAACCAAGATGGAATTCACAGTACACTGTTACATTCACACTTGAAAAAAAAAAGTCATATACAGAAATTTGCAAATAGATGTAAACATATATTACTTTCCAAGTACACTTCTCTACTCTCTGGAAAAGAAAAAAGCCATCCAACAAAGCAACCCCTTCAAAATAATTTTAATACAAAGGATGCAAATATCTGCAAATGAAAAAAGGGTTCATCTGACCTACTGGGTGTCATGGGAAATCACTGGATGGGAACAACAGCTGGACTTCAGATGGAACTGGACTATTTAAAATTGAGTTTCCAGGAAAAATAGGCACTGATTTCTAGAAGGAAATTCTCTCCTTAAGCTATTTATTGAGCCAATATGGCTGGTTAGCATTTCACTAGTGTAAAGTAACCCAGCACAGGACTCTCAGATGAGAATGGAAACCGTGTAAACAACGCAAGAGGAGGCTAAGGCCTCGCTGCAGCCCTGCTCCTCCCTCCGGGCCTGAGGACTACCCCGAGTCAGGCCAGGGTCCAGTCCCTTCTTCCCATACTGCAGTTGTCTAGCTTTATACAAGGTACCCTGCCACTTCCCCACTAACTACTCCGGCTGATTCGAAAGACTTTTGTTAAAAAACAGGGGCACAAACAGCACCCTGTTATCTCATCCAGGCGGCCCTCCCCAGGCCCCCAACGGGAGGCATGCCGGGAGGGGGGATGGGAGGGGGCACCGGTGGCTGTCCTCCTGGGGGGACGGCAGGAGGCGGGTAGCTAGCAGGGGGCAGGCCCAGACCTGGAGGGGGGTGAGGTGGGACTGCATGGGTGGGGGGCAGGCGTGGGGGTGGGAAGTTGGGGTTGTAGGTGGGCGGAGGTGGTGGATAGCCGGGCGTGGGGGGTGGGATAGTGGGGGGTGGAAGGACGCTGGGGGAGGAGGCACGGGGGGCGGGGGTGGGTTGGGGGGATAGACATGAGGGTGGTAGGGAAGGTGAGCGGGTGGGCCGTAGGCAGGGGGCATGGCTCCGTAGGAGGGGCCCTCGGTCTTCATCATGGACTGTAGGCTCTGGTAGCCCTCTCCCGACATGTAGGAGCTGGTGGTAGACATCCCGGTCATGTAGCTGGATGGGGGTGGGGGCGGGGGTCGGTGTGGCAGTGGTGGGGGCTGGTGCACAGGGGCCGGGTGGGCCGGAGGAGGAATCTGGACCTTGGGGAGGTCGCTGGTGTCCACTGGGCCAGGCGGCTCAGTCTCACCTAAGGCGGTAGCGAGGGGTGGCTTCCGGTCTGCAGAGGAGAGACAGGTTAGCGCACAGCCTTGGACCCCATGACTGCAGCAGGGTGCCCTGGGCCAGGAGCTGCACAGCAGTCTCAGGCCCTGTCCTGGATCCCAGCAGCCACTGGTGCAGACGAGCACAGTGTAGGTGCTGCCTCGGACCTCGCATGGAAGCCAGCACTGTAAGGTCCCGAGCAGTCAAGGTCTGGCTCCGGATTACTCACGGTCTCTGCCCTGCTCTAGCGCCCCCTCCCCTTTGTTCTGGTCCTTGGCCCACCAGTCACAGGCAGCCCTGGCCCAGTTCTCCTAGCTCCAGTGGGCTCCGTCTCTCTGGCCTTCTCTGCTGCTGGAGTCGGCTCCAGAGCCAGGCCCCGTGGAAGTACTACTGGCAGCCCTGGCACTTATGGTCAAATGAAAGGTAGCACTTAAAAGGCCACTGCAGGTCTCTGACATTCCTGATGCATTTACCAGAATAAAATGTATTCTTTTTACTCAAGAGAAGCAGGACCACATCCCGGTGCATGTGCCTGAGGATGGGCACGCGTGCCTTGCGGCAACCAAGGCCGAACACTTCAGAGCCACACCTGAGCTTGCAGCAGGCCACAGGCCCCTCCTACAGGGCTTCACATCCTGTGGCTTTCCCATCCCCTAATATGACACCTCCCACCCCCCAAAATGAGTCAGGAGCTCCTCTGCCCGGGTGGAAAGGTGTCCTTTCCCAGGCAGCTCGGGGAAAGTCCTAAGAGCAGCGCTGCCGAGTCCAGAGAACACCGAACAGCGAAGGTGCAGTGCAGGCCTCGGACGGGCCTCACACGTGTCAGGTGCCCTCGGGAGCCGACTGCTCTCCTGATATGGGGAAGTGTGGCATGGTACCCTGATGACAGCTGTGGACATGGGCAGAGATGTGGGCCAGCATGTGCACCTGGCAGCTGCCTTCCCTCATCCTGCCTGCTAAAGCGACCTGGGACAGACAGACCAGCACCCTCACCCAGGGGGTTAGCCAGGCCCACAGGGAACTGTCTGTGCTGCCGGGCAGGGCATGCACCCTCTGGTTCTAAAGGCTAAGGAGAGAGTACATACAAGTGCAGACCCTTGCTGGGTGCAGTGGTGCACACCTGTCACCCCTGTTACTCAGGGGACTGGCAGGAGGATTTCAAGATCAAGTCCAGCCCGGGCTTTAGCAAGACCCTTCCTCAAAAAAAAAAAAAAAAAAACAAACAAACTGGAAAGGGTGGGGGATGTGGCTCAGCACTCCCTGGATACAATCCTCAGTACCACCAAAGAGAATGCTGCCCCTTTTTAATTCCTCCCAGCTGCTGCTGTCCACCACAACCCACAAACACACCTGCAAGAAACTAGTTCCCCAACGCTCAGCCCTGCAGCCTCTCCCAAGGCCTGAGCCCTCCTTGCCTTCTGCGACTGCACCACTGCGGCCCTCAAATCCCCATAGGCCTCCCTGCAGAGCTCAACCTGCCTCCCTGCTGTCTTGGACTGCAGGGAATGATGGGCCCCACACCTGTCTCTCTTTCACACCATCCCCCCTCGATCCTCCTATACCTGAGGGCTACACTGTGATCCCCAGGAGTCCCTTACGAAGCTCCTGTGTGCCTACCTGCTGGCCCCAGTGGCAGTCTGTGGAGTGTCACAACACTGCCATAGGGCTGGGCACAGCTGCAGAGGCCTCCACAGGAGGCTCTCTGGGCTGTGCACAGGAAGCAGCCCTTGCCGACCACGCAGACTGCATGCGGAGCCTGGGACACATTCTTGCTGAGGTGCTCACAAAGCCTGAATGAGCAGCTCTGGCATCTCCTTAAGCAAGGCTTCTCTGAGCTGGGGGCTGGGCTGTGGCCTGAAGTCCTCACTGTACACCCTACAGTGGCCACATGTGAACCCAAGCAGGTGCGTCAGTGGCACCTGCACATCAGCCTTGGGTCGGAAGCCCTCGGGCCAGTCCCTCCCTGCAGATGGCCTCTCCAGCCCATCCAGCCCACTGCCCTGGCTCTGAGGTGGGGCACAGGCAGAGCGTGGCACTCTCTCTGCCTTTCTCCTTCTGTTCCCACTGCTGAGAAGCTGCGGGCACAGGGCATGCCTGTGGAGAACTTCATGCCCTTTAATTTATTCTCTATGTGATCTGAACAACTGCTTATTCTTCACAATGCTCTGGAAGACAATCTACCAACAGGAAGCAGGTGAGCGAGACATGGATCCTGACACCTGCAGCAATCCTGGCTCTGGAAAATGCTCATCAACCCAGTTTCGTTTACTTAAAATTCATTTCACCTGCACACCTCGGTACTTATGGATGGAGGTCAGCAAATATGCAGACATGCTTAAGACCAGGGCATCTGCAAAGTACCTGGCTTGGGAAACTAAGGATTCACAGCTCACGTCCCTGCCGGCTTCTCTGACCCACCTCTCAGGGCAGCCTTGCGGCTATGCTTACCTGGAGGAGGGTGAGCCGGAGGCAACGGTGGATGACTGGTTTCAATTTTGGGGATTTTAGGTGGTGGTTCTAAAAAGAAGAGATGAGTTAAAAAAACCACTAGTAGTTCATGTAAATAAAATACATCAGAGAAAACAGCAAGAAAAACTCTGTCAGAGATTTCTTCAGAAGAAAATGAACAGATATGACCAAGGCCTTCAGGGACTTAGATGAGAGCTTCTGAACTAGGAACTCACTAATGCTGTTAAAATAACCAATTACCCAAACACCTCTCTCCCCCTAAACAAGGCCTGCTCACTTCTCCCAGCCACCTGTCCTTCACATCTCCCTGAACTTCCTTGTTGACCTCTTAGAACAAATTCTTCCACATCATGAACAAGGCAACCAGATCTCGGATGACACAGGCGCCGGGCAGCAGCACCACGCCGCCAAGCCCCTGGTCTCACTGCTCCTCCCCCTGAACTCCTGTTCAGACCTATTGATGCTGCTCTTCTCGCTCTCCACACTGACTTCCAGCTAGCAGCGTGCCAGCACAGCGCACTCACTGGTGGCAGGGAGACCTGGAAGCAGGAGGGAGGCCTGGAGGGGATATTGGGGCATCACACTGCTGGTCAGTGCCACACGGGAGGGAGGAAACTGTCCACCCTTGGGAGGTCAGGTGCTGTCGCCAGCCTCCACAGTAACAACCCTGGTGGCCAGGACAGAGCACAAAAAGGCAGCACATTCAGCAAAGGCCCCGTCTTCCGCTGTGCTGGTGCAGCTTTCATCCTGATGCTTCCTTTTTTGAGCTAGGGTCCCACTATGTCGTTTGGGCTGGCCTTGAACTCCCTAGGTAGCCCAGGCTGGCCTCTCAACTCAGAGTGATGCTCCTGCTTCGGCCTCCCAAGTGCTGCGGTTTCAAGTGTGTGCCACCACTTCTGGCTCATCCTGAAGCTTTAGATTTGACTTGGGATTGTGCAACACTTCGTGTCTCCTGGCACCATCAACCACTTCCCTTATGTCCCTGCCTCCAACACAGGGCAGGTTCAAGGTACAGGGACTTGTGCTCTAGCTTTCACTTGGAGAACAAGTGCTCTTTCTGCAGAAAATCCACATTCTGGTGTCCTTCTTTCTACACTAGTCCTGACTACCACACTGTATGTGTGGATTCCTCTAGTTTCAACACAAAAACAAATTAGGCAGTTCTGTGCTCTACCAATGTGGAAAAAAAAAAAAAAAGCCAGTTTAAAAGGTGCCTGGCTCAGCTAAGCAGCAGTACAAGGGGGTGCTGGGGCCCACACCCTGGCAGCGCGTCCTTCCGAGCCTGCACTGCTACCATGTTGAGGACGGCACTTTTACGGCCCTTCATTTTGTCCCTGGTGACAAGCATAACTCCTCCTTCAAAATACACATTGCTATACCTGGCTCCCTCCATTTAGAATTATAGGTTTTGTTTTTTGGTACTGTGGATTGAACTCAGGACCCGTGAACACTGAGCTACAAATTCTGTCCTTTTTTCATGTTTTATTTTGAGATAGAGCCACACTAAGGTGCCTAGGCTGGCCCTGAACTTGTGATCCTCCTGCCTATTTCCAGAGTAGCTGAGATTCCAGGTATGATGGGTATGTCTAGCCAGAATTGTATTCTCTTATGTTGTCAAGTACATTTGATGGCCAGTGTTTCTTGTATTAATACTTCTTGGGCCGGGGAGGTGGCTCAGTAGAATAAGTGCTTGGCTGGCAAGCACAAGGGCCTGAGTTCAATCCCAGGTTTCTAAGAAAAAAACAAAAGCAAAACAAAAAAACCCAACAACAATCTATAAAGCTATACAGGCAGATGATCAGCAGAGAAGATCCATTTTTTTCCTGGAAGGCAGAGAAAGTTTGTGATAGTTCCCAGTTAAATTTTTTTTTTTTTTTTTTGTATTTTGTACAGGTTCTACAGGGTCTCACTACACAAATCAGACTTGTAGTGATCCTCCTGTTTTCAGCCTCCCAAGTGCTGCAATTACAAGTGTGCGTCACCACACCCAGTCTCATTCGCTGTCTCAGCAGGTCCTGGGGGCGGGGCTGGCACAGCATGCTGGAGATCATCCCTGGTCACTGTGCCTGCCTAAGCAGTGCGTTAGTCTGTTGAACTATCTGCCCTGCCCTTCTAAGTTAAATCTTAAGGCTAATTTATGTTGGAAAGGAAACAACGCTGACCAACCATTTAAATGAACCTAGTTTTACACAGAACCGTAAAATAAAAGAAACATCTTGGGTATTACCTGTTGCTTTGTTCTCTTCTTTGGGAGAAACAACCTGTTAAAAGAAAATATATGACTGTCAACCAAACCCTGGGCACAACAGAATCACAGTGAGAGAACAGAGCCACAGAGCAGATTCACTGTGACCTGCGTCCGCAGTCCCTCCCAATCATTTGTGCCCCTTTCTTCAATGGTCAGATCACACAGAAGGACCCGTCTTTGCGGAGTGTGCTCAGCAACAGCAGGCTTCAGGCTCTCCCTACACCCTGGACTTCGGGGGCTTGCTGGTGCACATTTACACACCTGCTTTCCTTTGGGGGCTCAAGCAACCTACGGCTTCCTCCAGTGGCCAGGCTGCTTCTGTGGAGAGCAGATTTGTGTTCCATGACCAGAAACTTTTACAAATATTGTGTGCTACTTAAAGCCCTGAACACTTAGGAAGAGCATGGGAGAAGTAGCCTCTGTAGCAGTCAGTTCCTGTAGCTACGATGACTGGGGGAAGGAAACGCTCCTGCTTCCAGCTCAGGTGGCTACGCATTACCAGCATCCACAAGGTAATATCAGGGTGGATAAGATGTGCCCTGATGCTAGGGAGTGGAGGCTGCAGGACGACAGAGGCTGCCTGGTTCCAGAGATCGCTGGTCTTCGGGCTCCCCACCAAGGCACCACACCAAGAGCTTGAGTGGGCCCCCTGCTTCCCCAGTTCAGTGCAATCCCCCACTCACCACAGCACGCTTCGCCTGTCGTGGAGGGCTGGGCTGTGGAGACAGCTTCTTGGGCTGCTGGGACTGTGGTGGTGGTGGAGGCTGCTGGGCCGACTGCTGCGAGTCCTTCTGCTGGGGCTGGGCTGGCTCAGAGCCCTGAGGTGGCTGTGACTGCTGCACTTGTGGCACTTGTGGTGTAGGCTGAAGAGATGGGGGCTGCTGCAGCTGATGTGGGGTGTGATGAGGCATCTGTTGTTTTCCTTGTGAGTAGAGATCCAGGATCTGATGGCAGATGTCTAAATGATAGCCAACAATTACATTCACTGCAAATTGACACCTGAAATCAAATTTTACTGTGAAAAACCCCTCAGCTTTGATTCCCCTACAAGGATCAATAATCACACTGGCAACAGGCCCCACCTTTGCTGAGTGTGGCACTGGGCTACCTCTCTAGTACGCTACAGAGCTATGTGCTTGAAAGAAGTGAAAGTCACAGCAGAGAATCTAAGGGGGCCCAGGGTTGTCATCAAAACTGGAGCACTTTCCCCAGAAAGCTCATATGCCAGTACCTTCTAGCACGTCAACAGGGACGTCCTGAACGAACTGCTCCCACCATCTCCTATACATGGGTTTGGAGGTCCACTCTTGTATTTCAAACTTGCACAAACGTCCTGCAAGGTACATGACTGCCACTGCTATGATTTCTGGCTCCCACTGCAGTGACAAGGTGGTGCAGAGACTGGATTCAATAAGGAGAGAAAGAGAACATTTATGATGAAACCTACACATGGAGATTTGATGCTGTATCTACCTACATGGCAACTGGCATACTTAATCATAGGCATGATTAATGCACTACAAGTAAAAAAGCAAGTTTTCAGGTACCAACTGCTAATTTGTTCTTTAAAGAATCAGAAAAATTTGAGCATATTAAAAAATTGCTGGGGCTGGCGAGATGGCTCAGTGGTCTAAAGCACCTACTTAGAACAAGCTTAGCTAAAGCACAGGGACCGCGGTTCAATCCCCCAGCACCACATGCCAGCCAGCCCCGCCCCCTGGTGGGCTGAGCTGGCCACACACACACACAAATTAAAAAATAAATAAAAAATTGCTACATTATGAAATACATATGAAAAAGTTTTACCTTTTTCTCCCCTAGCAACTGAACTGTTACTTCAAAGGAATGTTTATGGGGAGGTCAATCACTCTCCAAGAGAAATGCCTGCAAGGGTGGGGCTGCTGGCCTTCCCTGCCACTAGATTCCCAGGAACAGTACGCTTCAAAAATCATTACAAGAGGGCCAGCCAGCCAGCTCAGTGGACTAAAGTGCCTGCTTAGGCAGGTACAGGGACCAGGGTTCAATCTCTCCCACTCCCGGAGCATGCTGAGATGGCTAATGAGACTGGGTGTGGTGGCATGTGCCTGTAATCCTAGCATGTGAGAGGCTGAAAACAGAAGGATCACTATGAGTTCAATCTACAGAGACCCTGTACATTAAAAAACAAACAAACAAAAAAAACCCCAAAATAACCTCATTACAAGAAACCAAATGGGAAAAAAAAATAAATAAATAAAAAAATAAAAAAAAGAAACCAAATGGGCTCAAAAGATTCCACTGCCAAAATTCACCAATGTATTGCTCTGGAAGTAAGGTTTCAAATTGGTTTGAAGATTTCAAATTCTCACACCTCCAAGCCACAGCTGGGCAGAAAACCCCTCTGCTGAGAAGCAATGGTGTGGACTTCAGCTCCAGCTCTCCCACTGCCTGTTTACCCAGGGTACGTTAAGTTTCTTCAGCCCCAAAATGAGGGCCTTGAATTAAATGACGTATAAAATCTCATAATACAATTACATCAACATCTGAACACATGTACCTGTCATTTACAAAGGTCCATGCCATTTGAACCAACTTTTGAATTTTGTTTTTATCACCTAGAAATGGAGAAACAGGCAAAAATTAGTAAGCATGGAGGGAACAAGAATTTATAAGAAATAGAATTTAAAACCTACTGTGCGTGAGCACAGGAAACAGCTTTCACCCAGGAAAGGGCAGATGAGCAGCGGTGGCCTCCACCCTCCGCTCCTTCCTTCCTTCTCGCTTGTTCTTCTGCATGACCTACGCTGAAACACCATTTATGGGAAAACTGGCTGCCAGGCTAATTTTATTAATCTATTTAAAAATTCTGACTCATTTTCCTGCTTCATATCACTTGGCAACTGGATGACAGGACCTGTTTATGCACGAAGGAAGCAGAATTAACGGCTGCAGCACTGCAGTGCCCGAGCACACTGTGTCCTGGGAATGCCACCCATCAACCGTGCGCTCCTTCCGTAAGAAGCATAATTTGAACATCACCCAGTTTTTAAAAGGCTTGATTTCAGAATAAAAAAGGTCTTTTAGAAACATTTTGCTCCTTACCTTTGAGTTGTTTTGCATATTTGAGTAAGAACTGGTATGGATGCTCTACTTGTAAATCAAACTTTATAGTTTGTAGTAAGATTCTCTCCAGAACCATTACTTCTTCCTACCAAAATAAAAATTAAAAAAAAAAAAGCATTGGGATAGAAAGTGTAAGTCTCAAACAATGTGAACAAATAACTTTCCTGTCTATTTTCTCTTTTTTGTTCATTTTTCTTCTCCATTCAGACTCAGAAATAGCAATAAATTCTGAAAGAACTCACAACAGGTAGAAAATCTAATCCAAGTATTTTTTTTTTTTAATTTTTTTTTATTTATTTATTTGAGAGAGAGAGAGAGAGAGAGAGAGAGAGAGAGAGAGAGAGAGAGAGAGGTGTGTGTGGCCAGCTCAGCCCACCAGGGGGCGGGGCTGGCTGGCATGTGGTGCTGGGGGATTGAACCGCGGTCCCTGATGCCTTGCCGAGCTTGTTCTAAGTAGGTGCTTTAGACCACTGAGCCATCTCTCCAGCCCTAATCCAAGTATTAACTCAAGGAAAATGACAACAAAATAAAAATCTGTAAAAATAGTACTGCTTCCACATGAATCCCTCTTAACAAAACCGAATAACTTCTTTCAAGATTCCTACAAAACTCAATTCCCAGAAAGCCATAAGGGAGAGAATGCAAGTCAGCTTCATAAAAACTAAGACAACGCAGGGCGCATGTGCATGCCCACACACGTGCACACACAGATGCACAGTGTGCATGTGTAAAGGGAACACAGCACTGTCTTTAAATCTTTCATTTATAAAAAAATACGTGCCCCAACATTGGTTTTTTTTTGGCTGAACTGGGGATTGAAGACCCTTGTGCTTGTCAGGCAAAACCTATTCTACTGAGCTATCTCCCTGGCCCCTACATTGTGTATTAAAAACATAGGTATCATTTTTCCTTTTATTGGAAATGCTGGCTCTTTTTTTTTTTTTTTGTATTTTAGAGAAGGGTCTACAGGGTGTTCAGGGTCTCACTACTAGATCAGACTTTTAGTGATCTTCCTGTTTACACCCTCCCAAGAACTGGGATTACACATGTGCACCACCACGCCCAGTCTCAATCCCATATCAGTGGGGCCTGGGGGCAGGGCTGGCCCAGCAGGCCCCAGGATCAAACCCCCACCCCTGCGCCTGCTTGCAGGCACTTTAATCTGCGGAGCTATTTGGCCAGCCCTGGAAATGCTGGCTAAATCCTTACCTTGCACTACACATGCATGCATTTACATACATATATAATCTTTCCGGTCACTGATCAGTTCATCTACTTCTGTACCACAATCAAAGGGGTAGGGTTGGTTAGTCTCATTATTACTCCTTTTTTAACGAAGTTGCCTGTTTTTGCAAGTTCCTAGCCAACCACGGTTCCAATCTCAAGATAAAATAAAAGCCACTGATGGTCTGATTGGGAACTCACTGACTTTAGAGAATAAATAGGAAAAAAAATAGATTTTTTAACTCAACAAACCTTTAATAAAAATTTTTTCAGTCCTTTAGTTTCAAAGGGCTTTGCAGATGAAAAAAATCTCAATAGTAGTCCCACAAACATGAACTTTGGGAAGAGGAGACACAGTGAATGACTTTCATTCCAAAGCACACCATTACTTTAAAAGCACACAGGTGAGTCTATGAGTTACTGTTCTAAATGGCATGCAAGATTTAAATTTTTCTCTCCATTTTCCTTTCATAGTCTGTGTATAAAAAGCTTTTTTTTTTTTTTTTTTTGCCTGTTGTCAATACCTGTTTCCCAGAAGTTCCAACATTTCTTCTAAATTTAGAAACAGACTCAGGCAGTGTGCCAACAGTCTGCAGGCAGCGGTGCATCTAGTACTACAAGACAGCCCAAGGCCTGCCTGCTCTTTGTGTCTCGGTACTGAACGAATCAGTGGGCAGTTATATCACCTGCACAGCCCATCTCACTGAAGGCTCCCTGCAGTGCTCTGCTTCCCTGGGTTACTGGGCAGAATTCTCTCATAGCACCTTTAAATGACTGTTTATAGCAGTTCCTAACTCTCATAAGGAGATATGTCACTACCTTATTAAAATATATCTTGCCACATAACTGTAAAATCCATGTCAGCAAAGAAATAGATGTTCTGCCAAATTTTATCTAGTGCTTAATACACTGGCCAAATTAAACATCGTTGACTATATGAGAAATTAACATTACTCAGGAAAACTATTCAGTTCAAGCAAAGCTAAATGATGCCCAAAAAATGACACACACTCAACTTTGTTTTCCCTAGTACTTACACTGCCTCTCCAAATAACTGCCCTCTTCTTTGCCAAGCAGAGTACTGGGACTTCCCTGCTCCTGGACACCATCTGGCTCGTACCTGCACATGGGAGAGGAAGCGGACGGAGCCCCCTGCCAGTTAGGTCTCACTTGTGGAGCTACTGCACTACGCCCTTGTCTAGGGACAGTGGAGGCACAGGTCTACTCGGCAGGGCCAGGGCACGCCTTGGCTTCCTAACAGGAGCATTCATGGTGAGCAAGGAAGAACAACATCTCCAGGGACACCTAGGGCAGTACACGTCAGCTGTTGCCAGGCATCTTCACACACGGGGCCCACACATGTGTGGTCAGCCTTAACACCAGCTCTTAAGCCATGAGGTTCATCCACCTATGACAAAAATTTGGTATGTCCCTACAGGTGGATGACACCTATGATGGACTTGACATCTGTGGAAACTTAGGGTTACACTGTCTTACAAATATGAACTTTTGGTTACTGTTAATTTGAGTCTCTAACAGTTCCAATTTTATAAATAAGTGATTTCTAATTAAGTTTAAAGGGCAGAATTACTCCACACTGACAGTGCTTATAAAGCCTGAGTATTAGACACATACACAGTACACACTGCAGTATCCCAGCTCACTCCTGAAAGGAGTGAGAAGAGGCTGCACATTCTGCACCAGGCGAGAGTGCTGCATGGCAGGGGTAAGACAGACACGGACGGTGCCCACCTTACCACCCCAGCTGCTTTCAACTGCGATTTTGAGTTTCCTCTGTAACACTATAGTCACTTCCTTAACAAGACTCTGCTGAATGCTCGTGTCTAGCCACCACACTAGGTGCTTTTACTCCTTGTGCAACTTATAGTTAAGAAGAGGAAAGATTTATCTGTGTGACTTTTTCCAATGGGCCAGTGACAAGCAGTGGCAATGGAAAGAAGCCCCACGCTGAGGTTGCAGCCCCAGGCCCATACCACAGCTGCTGGGGTGAGGCTGGTAATCTCCTAAGAAAGAGCACTTTGGGGGCTGGGGCGATAGCTCAGTGGAATAAATGCTTGCCTGGAAAGCGCAAGGTCCTGAGTTCAATCCCTAGTACCACCACCAAAAAAAGAAAAAGCACTTTGAAGAAACACCTCCATACCATCTCTAGTTCTTGTGGGTTCTAGATAACTCTTCAGTGTGCCTTCAATCCAATACAAAATGACATACAGAAGCTTCTTGATCCAGAACCAAGAAATCAGAGATCCAGGTTTGAAGAAGTAAACATTTTGAAAAACCCCCACAACCCCAGCACACTGTTACGGTTGGGCGACGTGGTGAAAGTAGAAGCTGTCGGAGGGCACCACGGAGGTGCCCTGCCACTGCCACAGAGAAGCCCAGCATGAAGAGGCCAGGAGAAGCCCCCAAGCTCAGCAAAAGTAAATCACGGTATCCCCGCTTCCAAAGTCAAGAGCCTATCGTTGATTTTCAGAACATCTATGTTTGGCCAACTAGTATTATCTGTTTCTCAAAGAATATGGTCAAATGAAACACTTTTCTCAATTAAAGATTTACTTAGGATGAATCCCAAAAGAACCCGAAGGTGGACTTTAGAAATTTATCTTTGCTATGACGACTCAACTTTTAAAGTAAAAAATGTCTATTGTAACTTCTGAAACTAGTTAGCAAATTAACTTAAAAAACCCCCAAAACTTGTATTTATTTTACAAATATATGGAAACCAGGACCAAGAGCAAACTCTATTTGGCATCCTTTGTTGTTTATGGGAAAATCTCCCTCTGGAATAAAGAACTGCACCCTCACAGGGTGCTTGGGAACAGCAAACATGCACAGAAGGCTCTGGGGAAAAACACTAAAACCAAGAAGTCTGTGGGATTATTTGATTGGGTTTTCTTTTCTTTTTTTCTTTTTTTGCGGTACCAGGGATTGAACTTGGAACCCTGTGCTGGCCCGACAAGCACTTATTCTACTGAGCTATCTCTGTGGGATTATTTGATACAAAACTATCTAATGGAAACTAAATGATGCATAACGCTAAGTCGAGGAACTCAATCTAAAAAGACTTCATACTGTATGTTTCTATTTCTATGACATTCTGGAAAAAGTGAGATTACAGAGACAGCGAGATCAGAGACTGCTAATGGTTAAGTGGAAGGAAGGGATGAAGCGGCAGAGAGCACTGCTATCTTCCCAGACCCTAAAAACACACTGTACTATTATATTATTCACTTGTCCAGGTTCATGGAATGTGTAAAACCAGGAATGAACCTTAATGTAAGTGACAATGACATGTGACAACTGGTCCATCAACAGTGACACATATACGGCTCTGTGGAGGCTGTGTGTTGTGGGGCAAAAGACATGCAGGAACTCTCTTGATTGTGCTGTAAATGTAAAAGTGCTCTAAAGAAATCTACATAATTACGAGGCATGATAAACATTATAAAGAATAAAACTATCATCAGTCCTTGACATGGTATTTTTCAAAACATAGTAAAAACCTGCTTAATTATTTTAACCCTATTTTTCCACAATGGCAGAGGCTGTGACAAAGGGACAGGATGAGATCATAGTATCAATGTAAGGGTGCTTGAAAACTTTGCAAATGTCAGAAACCTTCCCGCCCCCGCCTTTTTAAAATCTTGTATTTATTTGGCACAGGGTCTCGCTACAGAGCTCAGACTTACAGAGCGATCCTCCTGTCTCAGCCTCCATAGTGCTGGGGTTACAGGTGAGTGCCACGCCATGCAGTTTCAGTGGCCAGCTTGGCACCCAGAACTGGCACGGCATGTGGTACTGGGGATTGAACCCAGGTCCTTGTGCTTGCCAGGCAGGAGCTTAGATGGCTGAGCTAGCTCCCAAGCCCCCTCCCATTCTTCAGATGCAATAGGTACAACAGCATTTTACTGAGTCAGGAGCTAGACGGAGACAAGCCCTCCTGAGGCACAGAAGCTAAGAAGGGGCACACTGAGGGGAAGAGGAGGATTTCTGCTCACACCCACCTCAGGCCCATTGTCCTTCAAGTGCTCAGGATGTGGAAGGCACACGGAAGGCACTCCATGATGGCTACGCACTCTTCCTGCCCATCTTATAATTCAAGCAGCATCTTCCACAGAACCCTCCCGGGAACTCAAGGCACCGACAGACATGGGTGCCACAGCCACTGTTTGCATCTTAATAATGTCATAAGGAATCAACTTTTGAAGGCAGAAGTTTTGGTTCTTACCTTTGGGTCATCTCCAAACTGGCCAAACTGTACATCATTTAATAAACTACGAGCTGTTTTGATGATATCTTTACACTTTTTTGGAGTTTCTTCTACTTTCCCAGCCAAAAAGAGACAACAAGCTCCTGTCACCTAAACGGGAGACAAAAGGTCTTACATTTTGTTAACAGATTTTTAATTGCTTAATAAACCAGGCCCTTTCATTCTTGTACCTTGAGCCATTTACAAATATTGATATTCTAAAAGCTTGATGGACATTTTATAACCCTGAAAAAATATATGCCTTTGTAAACTTCTTAGAGGGCTGGGGGTGTAGCTCAGTAATAAGAGTGCTTGCCGGCTTTCATGAGGTCTTGGGTTTGATCCCTAATTCTGGAAAAAAAATCATATATAAAATTCATTTTTCAAAAGAACTGTCATATGTCAAAAACAAAGCCACAGAACTGAATTTCCGTTTTATACTGTAGTTTGGAAGATTTCAACTTTCTGTATAGTAAACTGCTATGCAAGCAGAATAAGCACAACCACATATGTCTTGTGGAATATGCTTCCATACCGCTGTCCATACTTCCTTTCCTTCCTGCTAAGGGCAGAATGTACAAATAATCTCCAACGTAGCTGTATTCAGAGGTGGGGCTCTGCACACACACAACCCCCATGACTGGGTCACCCAACCTCACAAAGGAGGCCCAAGAGAGCACTTGTTCCTCCTTCCCATGGCGTGGATCTCAATTTGCCAGTAGCTCAAGTTTGGCTTCCCAGCTTTCACAACTGTGAGGACTAAGTTGCTGCTAGCCATGAATTACCTGGTGTGAGCTTACTCTATTACAGTCATCCGCAGCTGCAACGGACAAAGACGTTCTCTCCAGTTACCTCAACCTTAGTGTAGTCCATGTATTATAGGGGGTCTCTATTCTCTCTCCCCAGCTTCTCCCAACCCATTCCAATCCTTCTCTCATCACATAATCTGACTATACTGGATGCCACTCTGCCAGAGGTTGATGCTAATTCTGTCAGTTTCCTAAAAACTTTGGAAACCAGCAAGGAAGACAAGCACACATACCTAATAAAACCTCCAACAAATGACACTCCTCTTGTCTGTCTAGCTTCAGAAGCCAAATGTCCCTCTCTGCTTTAAAGGTTACCATGTTCTGACTCAGCCGACCCTCATAGCCAGGGTCTCACCATTTTTTCCCTCTACACGGAGCTCCGGCTGGGTCTGTCAATGTGCTGTGTGCCTCCCCTTGCATCTGTCAGTTCTAGGCAGACCACTATCTTGGCCGTCTCTGCACATCTACGCAAGCTGTGTAGCCAAGGCTTAGCCTATGATGTGCACCTCTGCCTGGAGCACTCCCTGATTGCTGCACAGTACCATTCTTCCTGTCCTGAAGTCTCCCAGCCCTCCATGTGCACCTCTCCCAGACCTACACTTATCTAGGAAAAGGTAACAGGGAAGCAAACTTTCACACAAAGTACAATACAGTGGTGGCTTACATAGTTAGTTGGAAAAGACAACTCAAACTTGATTTTGTTCAAAAATAACACGCTAAGACTATGTGTCCACCAAAATGGGTGGAAATAATAATGTGGCAGAGAGCACAGTAATGTTTAAACACTTACATATCTTGGGAATTGCTTGAAGGAATGAAACATGTAGAAGCGATGAAAATAAATTATTCCAGTTGCCAGGGTGTCATAGTGTCTGTTTCACTGTTAAGGACTTTAGCAGTCATTATCTATAGGTTATGTTTTTAGTTAAATGCAGGAAAACAATAAAGACAACAATCAGTGATAATGAACAGTGCAAAAAGCGGGCACAACGGGCATCTCAGGATGTTAGAATTTTGGTGCAAGAATGAGCATTTTCCCTGGCAAGTGCAAGGGCCTGAGTTCAATCCCCGGTTCCAGGAAAAAAAAAAAAAAAGAATGAGCACTTTGAAGTCTTATGCTTTTAACAAGCCTTAAGAAACACTTCAGCTGTTATCTTAATGGGTGCTGGCTTCCCTTCTGGGGGGCCACTTAGTGGCTGAGCCTACACATTTAACGATAAACTAGAATCAGAAAACCTCTGGAGAATCACACCTTCAGAACGTTTATACAACGAAGATGTACGAACTGTCCTACTGCAGAGAAGTAACAGTATATTATGTCTATAGTATCTATTCAAATTCTTGGTGGTAGTGGGGGAGATTTCCAAGAGGATCAGGATACAGTCCCAATCGTGTGCCGACATCGAAGATGAACCGAGCACCCTCTCGGCGGTACCGGGCCTCTGTGGCCGGATCAAGTCCTTCGAGTTGCGAGGGTGTATGAGCCAAGTCTTTCTTATCCCAGTACCAACATGGTTTTGTGTGGTCCAGGTTTGCTGACGTTACTGAAGGGCTTGAATTTTCTTTGTTCTCCTTCATTTATTGAAGTAGACTTGTTCTTTCCAAAGTTTTCTGAAAATGTTAGACTCCTAAGAGAAAAAGGCACAAAGCTGGAAAAGTAAGCAACATTACAAGTCACCCTAATCATTATAAGCAATCTACGGCCACAGGATGTTCTTCATGTTGAATCAAAATTCCCTATAGGAATTCCACTGCTGACTGCCAATGAGAAGCCCAGGCCAACCTCCAATGCCCACTGAGCACATACACTAAGTAACTTCAGGACTGTAGGTTCCCAATTTCATGGCTGCTGATGAGAAAAGCATTTTTTCCTCCTTTTGAGGCTAAACGTTTAAGCTTGGCCAAGATTATGGGAGAAACCAAGTACATCTTACTTCCTTCTGCTTTTATTCACCAGACACATACTTTCCTCATGCTGATCTAGAGTCCATTCTTCAGTGAAATTTGGACTTGTGTTAATCCCTACAAAGATTTATGTTTCAAAATTATCCTTTCTTCCATCAGAGATAGAATTTCCCCTTGTTAGTTTACCTGATTTCACTCAGGCACTCTACTTACAAAAGCTAAGGGACTGGGTGAGTTCACAAGTCACCAAACTGAGCAATAAACCAGGTGTGTGGGTGTAGTGGTGTCTGGGTGTTGTGATTTGGGGAAAAAGGAAGGTGCTTCAAACTGTTCTTGCTGCTTCTTATCCTGTTCCTTTTTTTTTTTTTTTTTCATTCAGAATACAGTCTTTAAAAGCTCCATGCTTCCCAAAGAAAACATCACAAAGAGCTCCTTTAGAGGTCATCCAAACGTGGAGGTCCTTGTAAAAAGGTTCGGGAAACAGAAGTCATTTCCAAACAGGCCAGCAGAAGGGTTCCAAGAGAGACTGGCTGGAGCAGGCTGAATCTGGTGAACAAGAAAACAGCACGTCTGTGGCTAGGATCTGAACCAGGGCTCCACCAGTACATCTGGAAGCCACCCTTTTCCTCAGCCTGCCTCATTTCTGGTAGCAAGGTGACAAAGAAGAGCTGCTTGCGTATTCTCTTACTCTTTGTACCTGGCACTTCCAAAATGAACATGCTGTTTCCTTCAACAGGAAGAAATACATAACTGGAAAAGGTACCGTTTGCATGAGTTACGTTTATACTTTTGTACAGTATTTATTAAACTGGGCAATACTGGGGGGCTGTTTACTAAATTCTCAGAAACCATCATTGTGAGAGATCATTTCTCTTCTATGGAATTGGCAAAAATTCAAAATGTTGGCAATTTACTGTTTCGCCAAGGCCAGGGAGAAGTGAGCATTCTCCCTGGTTGTGGGTAGGAGTAAAAAATGGCACAACTGTCACAGCAGGAAAGCTGAAGTATCTAACAAAATGACACACACATTTGCTCTTTGACTTAGCAACACTGCTGCTAGGGATGGTCTCTGGAGACACCTCCACAAGTACGAAACAACATACGTATGAGACTGTCCACTGCACTGTTATCTGTAACAGCACATCTGTAAATAACCTAAGTGCTCAGCAACAGAGACTATGTAAACAAGATTATGGTACATGAACATGACAGTGTACCACATGGCTGGAGGATGGTGAGATTTCCAGGATTAGCAAAGGGCAGGGTAGCACACGTAGTGCACTAATACCTAGATATGAGAACACAGGACAAAATTATTTTCTTGTCCCCAATTTTTTAAAAACAACAATAAAGTTCTCAACAGAAATTGGGGAAAAACAGAATGAGAGAACAAAGATGTGATCAGGACTTCACTGATCTATCACTTTTATACAGCTTTTTGACTTTTTAGGGAACTATTTTAAAATTGTAGATTTATAGAAGTTATAGACATAGCATGGAAGTTTTTGTCTTTGTCCTTAACTCAAGCTTTTCAAGTTCATATCCTACATACACACAGTACTAAAAAACTAGCACAATAAACTGTAGCTTTTACTTGGAGCTCTTCTAAAATCTTTTCTGCTGAATGACCCAACCCAGGATGCTATACTGTGTTTAGGTGTCATATATTCTTAGTCCCAGCTCTTCTTTTAAAAGTTATATATATACATACACACACACACACACACACACACACACACACACACACATATCCTGTATTTGGTACATACAGGGTCTCACTACACAGCTCAGACTTGTAGTGATCTCCTGTTTTCAGCCCCCCTGCTCATTGCCCTTTTCATTTTCTGTTCTTCAGAAGCCAGTCACCAGCTTCAGCCCATGGTCCTTACTTGAGGATATGGAAATTTAAGTGCTACCTTCTGCAGGAAGAAGGATCAAAGAACTTGTGGACGTATGTTAAAACCGCCACAGTAATTGCTAATTCTTTAAAAATATTGCAGTGCAAAATACTACGCAACTGCCTGTTACTTCTTAATGTCTCATCCCCCTAATTTCAGCATTCATTTGAGGATCTTGTGCAATTATTATTTTACCTTTTATTTATTTGGTACATGGTCTCACTACACAGCTTGGACTCAGTGATTCTCCTGCCTCAGCGCCCCCAGTGCTGGGATTAGAGGCGTGTGCAACCATGCCTGGTTTCAGTGCCCAGCTTGGTGTGGGGACAGCATGGCATGTGGTACCAGGGATCGAACTCAGATCCTTGCACTTGCCAGGCAGGCGCTTACACTGTCGCGCCCACTCCCTGGCCCACAACAATTATTGCTGTGGCTTTTCTTTTCTCCTAGAGATAGGATTGAATATGTTGTATAGGCTGGCCTTGAACTCCTGAGCTCAAGTGACCCTTTTTCCTCAGCCTCCCAGCTATGCCTGGCTACTGTGGTGATCCTTTTTCTTTTTTTAAATGTATCTGGTCCTGGATCTACAGGGTCTCACTACGCAGATCAGACTCAGAGTGATCCTCCTGTTTTCAGCCTCCCAAGTGCTGGGATTACAGGCCTGCACCACCATACCCAGGCTCATTCACTGTCTCAGTGTGCCCTGGGGGTGGAGCTGGCACGGCACAATGGGGATCGAACCCCACTCCCTGCATCTGCCTAAGCTGAACTATCTGGCTGGCCCTTACTGTGGTGTTCTTAATAGTGACTCTCCACTCTTCAAAATCTATTACTTTAAATTTTTTTTATAAGAACAGTTTGGGTTGGAGATATAGCTCAGTGGTATAGTGCCTGCCAGGCAAGCAGGAAGTTCCATTCCCAATACCACCCCCCAAAAAAGGTAGCTTTGCTCTATTTTCAATTATGTAAATATTTATAAATACACACACACACACACACACACACACACACATTTTGGCAGAACAGGGGATTGAACTCAGGTTGTTGCGCTTGCCAGGAAAGCACTTATTCTACTGAGCCATCTCCCTGGCCCAATATTTAATATATTGACAAATATAAGAAAAAAGCAAATCCTACCCACCCTTGGAATAAACCCCTTGTATGTCAAATGCATAACCTAACCACATGAAAAAATTATTTCAAGTAATGTGGGATCCCAATAACACCCTCATTGAGACATACTCTAAGGACAAAAAGAACTGGAAAGAAATCTTAAACTTTATTATACTATAGTAGCTTTGATACATACTTTTCAATCAAATTTTAGTACATTGCAGAATAAAAATATGTAAATTTTAACATTAAGAAACAAGATTTTCAGTGCAAAGGAAATACACTATAGACATGCACAAAACTAAAGAAAAAAGTTATGTTAAATTTTAATTAAAATAATTACAAGTAAATTTATGCCTATCTTCTAACTGTCCATTTCTAATAACTAGAAACTGACATTCCTGTAGTAAGCCACAATTTAATATCAAAATTTTAGTTTTTCACTATTGCCTTCTAAAAGGAAGCAGGCTTCTTTCTGGTCTGGGGTAGGGACTTGGCTGAGACAGTCTAATTGAAGCTTATCAAAGGACACAGGAGGGCCGGTCAGATAGTTCAGTGGACTAAAGCGCCTGCTTAGGCAGAGGACAGAGGCTAGGGTTGGATTCCTGGCCTGCTGTGCTGGCCCTGCCCTCCAGGTGGCACACCTGTAATCCCAGTCCTTGGGAGACTGAAAACAGGAGAATCAGAGTCCAATCTACAGAGTGAGACCGTATAGATGTCATACTTAAAAAAAAAAAAAAAAAAAAAAAAAAAAAAAGGACACAGGAAAACAAGAGGATCACTATGAGTACAATTCTGTATAGTGAGACCCTATAAATCCTATACTACACACACACACACACACAAAAACCCACATAGGAGAGCTGGCAGGAGTGGTACATACCTATCTCAGCTATTATGGGGCTGAGGCAGAAGGACTGCAAGATTTTATTTCATTATTTTTTTTTAATATTTATTTATTTATTTATTTATTTTGTGTGTGTGTGGCCAGCTCAGCCCACCAGGGGGCGGGGCTGGCTGGCATGTGGTGCTGGGGGATTGAACCGCGGTCCCTGTGCTTTGCTTAGCTTAGCTTGTTCTAAGTAGGTGCTTCAGACCACTGAGCCATCTCACCAGCCCCAATTTCATTATTTTTGAATCTTTTTATTTATTTGGTACAGGGTCTCACTACATAGCTCGGATTTAGTGATCCTCTTGTCTCAGTCTTTCCAGAGCTGCTGGGGTTATAGGCATGTGCCATCACATTTGGTTTTGGTGGCCAGCACGGCATACCTAGGGTTCTGGGGCTGTTATGTGGTACTAAAGATTGAATTCAAAACCTTGTGCTTGCCAGGCACGTGCTTAGACCAATGAGCCATCTGTCTCCCTAGCCCCAAGACTACAAGTTTGAGGCAGCTCCAAACTCACTGACAACTTGCCTCAACACGTAAAAATGGATTTATTGTGAATTTTTCTCAGGGCAAATGGCACTGTGATTACACAGGAGAATGACTATTCTTAGGAGACTCAGGCTAAAGTATTTCCATTAAAGTGTGATGTCACAACTTACTTTCAAATGGTCTAATTAAAACACAATCACACAGGGAGTGTGGCAAAACACCAATATACGTCCAGTTTAGCATGTACATTATTGTACCGAACTTTCATGTAATAACAAATTGTGTGTGGGGGGAATCACATGAGGGGCTGGGAATGTGGCTCAGTGGCAAAGA